AACCAGAAGGATGTCTGTTATCTGGAATCCTTGGAGATTTCTATAGTTTCAAGGCCTTCCTGAAGAGCCACGGAATTTTAGGAGGAAATTTGAAATAACTGATTTTTCATTTAAGTAACACGACAAAGGGGGCTCCTTGGTGGCTCAGTCAGTTAAGCTTTCAACTTCAACTCCGTTTATGATCTCACAATTCAGTTCATGAGTTTGAGCCCCACAGTGGGCTCTATGCTGACAGCTCAGAGCCTGGGGCCTGCTTCAGATTCTTTGTCTCCCTTCTGCCCCTCCCCTGCATGCACTCTGCCTCTCTCTGTCCCTCAAAAATAAATAAAGGTTAATTTTTTTTACAACAAACGGTTAAAAACAATTTGCTTTTTTTTTTTTTGAAAGAGTTGATTTTTTCAGGAAAGGTGATATTTACCTCCTACATCAGCCACACTGTTCATTCTCCAAGAGAACACAGGAATTTCCTCAAAGAGTAATCAAATATCTGCTTCCTAAGAGACAGAAGTGCCATAATGCTTCTGGAAAATTTACCCACTGGGCACTTGTCACACATATGCGGAGGCCATCAATTCTTGCCATCAGGTGGTGAGCAGAAAGACCAACAACAAAAGTGACTTAGAATGTCATGGCATTCTTGGGGCACCTGGGTGGCTCAGTTGGTTAAACATTAGACTCTTGATTTTGTCTCAGGTCATGATCTCACGGTTTGTGAGATCAAGCCCCACACTGTTAGCGGGGAGCCTGTTTGGGATTCTCTCTCTGCCCCTCCCCTGCTTGTATGCTTGCTTTCTCTCTCTCTCTCTCTCTCTCTCTCTCTGTCTCTCTCTCTCTCTCTCTCACACACACACACACACACACACTTTCTTTCTCTCAAAATTACTAAAATAAACTTTAAAAGAAAATAAAATATCATGGCATTCTGTTGTCTCTTGAGGTGAACAAAGTTTTAGCCTCCCTCTATTTATTCGTGTGTTTCCAGGGAAACTTTTACATTGTAAGAACAGAGAATACATTCTAGTAAAGTAGTATTCTGGAAGGTAGACTTATGTTGAACGTCTCTGTGGATTTTATTTTAAGAAATACAAAATAAAGAGCAAGAACACAGACATTTTTAGAAGAATAGTGCACAAGAGAAAGCAGAGAATTCAACAGGGGACACATTTTTTAATGACTCACAAGCTTCAGAAAGGTCACAAAAAACATCCAATAAATGTGTGGTTGTTCAGGCAGGAAATTAAAGGCCTGAAAGGGTTCATCTACAATTGGACAACACCAGTATGGCTGTATTGACCATGCTGGAGGGAGGAATGTGCCCTAACTGCTGGTTGTGGGTATGCTCTAATACATGTGAAGGTGCCACCTGCCCTTAGATTAGTTTCACCGAAAGGGCAATGATTTGCCTAATACATTGGATTTATTCCAGCAAGAATACTGACATGGATATGGGTAAAATGACAGAGGCGTGGGTGGTGAAGTAGACTCAAAATTTAGGTAGAAGTTAGGTGACAACAATTTCATAAACTTCCAAATAGAGATAATGTGTGCGTTCTTTTCTGTTTTCTGTAATCTCACACATTGTATTGTTGCCCAGTAAAGTTCAACAATATTTTCCCAAGAGTGACTTAGTCCTTAGGTTCAAGGTAATTTTAATTTGAATGCAACTTCTGACATAGTACCCAGTCTCTCAAGAAACCAAATTCCATTTGCTTGATAAAATAAAAACATATCGCTCTATTTTGAGAAAAAAGTAATGTCACTGTGCTGAGTGGCAAAGTGTTATAATTATTAAAATGGTAACTAACAAGGGGTGCCCACATGGCTCAGTCAGTTAAATGTCTAAATTCAGCTCAGATCACAATCTCGTGGTCTGTGAGTTCGAGCCCCATGTTGGGCTGGTCTCTGTGTCTCCTTCTCTCTCTCTCTCTCTTTCTGTCTCAAAAATAAATAAACATTAAAACAAATTTTGAATCATTTTTGAATAATCAAATGAAAATAATAAACTGCTAAAAATCCTATTTTCTAAAGTGAATAAAAACTATGGGCCAAAAAATAAACAATGTTAATTTATTTGTTTTTCTGGTGGAGAAACGGGCACCCTCCTACACTATTGGTGGGAATGCAAACTGGTGCAGCCACTCTGGAAAACAGCGTGGAAGTTCCTCAAAAAATTAAAAATAGAATTATCCTATGACCCAGCAATAGCACTATAAGGGGTTTACCCAAGGGATACAGGAGTGCTGATGCATAGGGGCACATGCATCCCAATGTTTACAGCAGCACTTTCAACAATAGCCAAATTATGGGAAGAGCCTAAATGTCCATCAACTGACCAATGGATCAAGAAAATGTGGTTTATATATACAATGGAAGACTACTTGGCAATGAGAAAGAATGAAACCATGACATTTGCAGCAATGTGGATGGAACTGGAAGGTCTTGTGCTGAATGAAATAAGTCAGTCAGAGAAGGACAGATGTCATATGTTTTCACTCATATGTGGATCTTGAGAAAGTTAACAGAAGATCTTGGGGGAAGGAAGGGGAAAAAATAGTTACAAACAGAGAGAGAGGGAGGCAAACAACAAGAGAATCTTAAATACAGAGAACAAACTGAGGATGGATGGGGGAGTGAGGGAAAGGAGAAAATGGATTATGGGCATTGAGGTCACTTGCTGGGATGAGCACTGGGTGTTGTATGTTAGCGATGAACCACGGAAATCTACCCCAAAACCCAAGAGCACACTTTACACACTGTAAGTTAGCCAATTTGACAATAAATTATACTTTAAAAAAAAAAACAATGTTAATTTACCTTTTCAATGGAAACTTTGAATGGCATTTTGGTATTTTAAAGAGCAGAGTTTATCTTATCCAGCACTTGAATGCCAATAAGAAAACCTGGAACTGGCTCTCTGTCCTTTCCAATTTTTACCTTTCCCCCTGCCAGGTGTACTCATGCCTTTGCTCTCTATAGTAATTTGCTGGGGCTTCCATAGCAGAACCCCACAGATGAGGGGACTTAAACAACAGAAGTTTATTTTCTCATAATTCTAGAAGGCAAAAATTAAGATCAAGGTGTCAACAAGTTCGATTTCTTCTAAGACCTTTCCCTTTATCATCCAGATGGCCATGTTCTCTCTGTGTCCTCACATGATTGTCCCTGTTGGTGTTGTCAGTGCTCCAATCTCCTCCTCTTATGAAGACACCAAATATACTGGATTAAGACTCTCCCGCAAAATTTCATTTGAATTCAATTACCTTTTAAAAGGCGCTGTCTTTGAAGATAGTCATATTCTGAGGTACTGGAGGGACATGACTTCAACATTTGAATTTTGGGTGGTGGGGATACAATTCGACCAATAGCAATCTCCAATAACATTCTCCTGTTTATTATCTTTGATCATAATGTCCTCATTTTTATTTCATGGTAAATATTGTTGCTGCTTTATTGCTTACAATAAAGCACAAACTTTTACAATAAAATGCGATTTGGTTTGGTAATGGACAGTTTGTTTGATAACTATTAGAAATGTTTCCTTTCTGTCTCTAAATTATTATTTAATTCTTCTCCTTGATGAACATCCCTTTTAATAATATAATAAAAGGAAGGGCACCTGGGTGGCTCAGTTGGTTATGCAACCAACTTTGGCTCAGGTCATGATCTCATGGTTCGTGGGTTCAAGCCCCATATCGGGCTCTGTGCTGACAGCTTGGAGCTGGAGCCTGCTTCAGATTCTGTGTCTCCCTCTCTCTCTACCCCTCTTCTGCTCATTCTCTGTCTCTCTCTGTCTCTCTAAAATAAATAAATGTTAAAAAATTTTTAAAAATAATAAGTTTTAAGGTATTACTTCTTGTATTAAGCATCTAATATTTTCAAATGACCTACCTTTTTAATTTTGTAGACTATCTTCCAAGATTTTTGTTATTTTATATAAAATATTTGTTTTTGATATGTATAAAATAGAAAATCATTAGAAAGCATAAAATGGGGGTAAAGAAAATAGTAGTTTCCAATCAAAGTGGGATAAAGAGGAAGAGAGATGAAGAAATAGCCAGAAATGATGAAAGGAAATGCAGTTGGTGGAGATGTCCAGTTCTCCTGAGGCTTGCTGGAATATGGCAGAATGACAGCCTACAGCTCTGTGTGACACAGCTGGCACTGCTAACTTAGAAGCAGAGTGGTGATTTTGACCCTTCAGCATAATGGCAGTGAAGTTAATTTAAAAAAAAATCAACGACACATTAAACATTCATTTCATCTAAGGTGGCTTTCTGGTGTGCAGCTATTTCTAAAAACTACAGTCTCATATTCTCTTGCTCACATCCATAGATCAGATATTCATAAGTTAAAACCATGTCTAATCTGAGAAATAAGTGTGATTTTTCTCTTTTCTGAGAAAAAAAATAAAAATACATGTGTCTTTGATAGCGCCGGTTTTCCAGGACACAGCCAAAAATAAATCAGTCTCTGTTTCACTATAATTGTCACTCAACAAATGTAATATGGAAAGGGTGGAAGGTATTTCTAGGGGACTGTGTCTTAGCCTTGTGTTGAAGATTTTTTTAATGGTATTCTAATGTTGTCAGTGTCTAAAAGTGTATGTGGTTTTTACAAATATTGTTGCCATTTGTTTTTTTAATATGGACTAATTTGTTAGGTAATAAGTTTAGAGTTAAGAAAACAAAACAAACACTAAAGCACATAAACGTACTGTGTCTTAACATTTAAGTCTATTCATCACCCTATCGCTAGAATCAAAGAATAAGTTGAAATTAAGGATTCTGTGAGGCTGTAAATATCAGCTTAGAAAGCAGAAAAATATGACCCAAAACTAACAGTTTGACCATTCTTAGCAGAAAAAAAAATTACAGTTTACTTCATGTTTATGCATTTTCAAAAACAGAATACACTTCATTCATATGTGCATGGATGTGTAGTTTGTCTCAGTAGTAGTATTTGTAATGAAGCACACATAAAAACACATCACTATGTCTGTATTCATATAATTTTACAAATTTATTTATTCTTAATTTTAGTCCTGTTTTTTTGTAAGCTTCTCACATCAAGCTGTGAGATTGATGAATAGTCACCAAGTGTAGAAATATGTATACTGGCATTTATTCTGAGAAAGTGAATGCTCGTGCGTGTGCAAGTGTGTGAAACATGTGATTTAACCCTCAAAGTAATACATGGTATTTTGAAATTAATTGTGCAGGTGTTTTGATTACCAATAGTTCCAGCAAAGCTTTCATTTAGAATTTTATCTACAAATTATGCCACCAAAGGAAATTGCTGCCTTGTATTTTCAGATGGATATCAATCACTAAATTTGCTAAAGAGTTGCCTAACTCCGTTTTCCTACCAACGGATTTCTCTTAGTACCTTTACTGCACTGCCATTTATTTTGAGATTGGAAACTAAAGTGGTTTTCTGACTCCATTCTTTGCCACTGTAATTAAGTCTGTAGTGATTTAAATTTGAATCTCATGGCCCTAAGCAATACTAAGCAAAGTAAAATAAAACAAAATTCACAATTGCTTATTGAGCTCCCTTTTCACCCAAAGCACTGCTAGTGACTGTAAGCTATGTAAGACAAGACCTCTGTTCCTGAGGAGATTCCTCTTGGGGCTATTGTTCTTGGAAATGCTCTTCCTGAAGACTGTGCAAGGGCCTTTTCTCTTAGGAGATCCCAAGCTGGTAGGAAGCCATTGGTGCAGTGATAACACTTAATGAAGGGAGTACGGGTCTCTACTCTCCTTTCTTGGCCTGTGAAACAGGGAAGCACATCAATTAGAAATGGAAAATGAGTATTCATGGCTTCTCTTAAATGTCGCTTCCCCACCATCCCACCTCTGCCAAAGAAGAGAAGTAGCTGACCTGATTCGTGGGATTGGGAGAAGAAATGAGCCTATTCGGCTTAACCCTAGCCTGTCCATTTCTGTCAGCAGGGTGTTTCTCTGCTCCAGGCAGTACTTCCAGAGATGCATCTGGAGGATATCTCACTCTGTCCAGCTGCTTGGTCCCTTGCCTATGAGACAGGAATTCTGGATCAGAGTTATCTTTTATCTGTTCTGCAGACACAAATTCTCCCTCAGGTGAATTATCTTAAATTCTAGCAGAGGTGGGGGATAGGGTGGGAACAGGAGCATCAAATGGCAGATTGTTTCCCAACATCTGAAACAGATTCTCCAGGCTAGTCTTATCAGGATTAAAGGCAATGCATTTATTTAGTTACCACATTTAATTTTAAATTTTTGGCTGGAATTTTAAAGGATAAAAGATTTTTATTGTTTTTCAACACTCATGCAACTAAGCATCCATCAACAAAAACTTAAAGTTTTTTATATAGTCTGCAATTCGTAACAAAGGCACATGCACATGGGAAGTTCCTACTAATAGATTGATTAAATTGATGTTGCAATCAGGGATCCATGTTTAATTTTTTTTATTGAATGGGAACCGTGTAACAAACATTACTTTAGTGGCCTTTGAATTTACTTATAGACATCTGTGTAAGTGCTCCAACTTTGGCCTTACCTTGAAAATTAGACAAGTATAGGACCCATATAATATCACTGTTGCCACAGTATCACATTAACTTTGCTGCTCAGAAGACAGCATAATTTTTAGTTGTTAATGTGTTATCCAGAAAAGCAATGTAGATTCTTTGTAGATCAACAAATTAGGTGATGTTCAAAACAAGAAAGAAAGAGAAAGAAGGAAATGCCCAAAATGATGAAACAATAGAAGTCTTCAAGTCAAAATTTGGAAACCAGTAATTTGTAGCATTGATCTGATACTTTAACTAGATTTGTTTTCAAAGGCATTTGATTTCCATGGCACTTGAAGGTATTTATCAAATCATATGGTGGTGTAATAGACAATATTTGTTTGGAGTGTGTCCTGACCTCCATCCCTATGTGTTCCTCCTGCCATTGTGCTTCTTCCTCTGCATTCACCTACCTCACATTCAAGTACCTTTGGCACTTGAAAGTGCCACTTTATAGATATGATTCACATATGACTTCCACTCTCAAGAATTCTCTGGAAAACCAATTTGGAATTACCAATCTGTCTTCCATGGCACTTTGCTGGATTTCATACTTTAAGGTTCATGTCTTCTGCCCATTTCTTCACTGGATTATTTGTTTTTCGTGTGTGGAGTTTGGTGAGTTCCTTATAGATTTTGGATATTACCCCTTTATCTGATATGTCATTTGCAGCTATCTTTTCTCATTCTGTCAGTTGCCTATTAGTTTTATTGATTGTTTCCTTTGCCGTGCAGAAGCTTTCTATCTTGATGAGGTCCCAGTAGTTCATTTTTGCTCTTGATTCCCTTGCCTTTGGGGATGTGTCGAGTAAGAAATTGCTGTAGTTGAGGTCAAGGAGGTTGTTTCCTGCTTTCTCCTCTAGGGTTTTGATGGTTTCCTGTCTCACGTGCAGGTCCTTTATCCATTTTGAGTTTATTTTTGTGCATGGTGTGAGAAAATGATCTAGTTTCATTCTTCTGCATGTTGCTGTCCAGTTCTCCCAGCACCATCTGTTAAAGAGTCTGTCTTTTTTCCATTGGATACTCATTCCCGCTTTGTCAAAAATTAGTTGGCCATACATTTGTGGGTCCAATTCTAAGTTCTCAATTCTGTTCCATTGGTCTATGTGTCTGTTTTTGTGCCAATACCATACTGTCTTGATGATTACAGCTTTGTAGTAGAGGCTAAAGTCTGGGATGGTGGTACCTCCCGTTTTGGTTTTATTTTTCAGTATTACTTTGGCTATTCGGGGTTTTTTGTGGTTCCATACAAATTTTTGGATAGTTTGTTCTAATTTTGAGAAGTATGCTGGTGCAGTTTTGATTGGAATTGCATTGAATGTGTAGAGTGCTTTAGGTAGTAATGAAATCTTAACTATATTTATTCTTCCTATCCATGAGCATGGAATGTTTTTCCATTTCTTTGTGTCTTCTTCAATTTCCTTCATAAGTTTTCTATAGTTTTCATCATACAGATCTCCTATATCTTTGGTTAGGCTTATTCTTGGTATTTTATGGGGTTTTGTGTGTGTGTGTGCGCAATTGTGAATGGGATAAGCTTCTTAATTTCTCCTTCTGTTGCTTCATTATTGGTGTATAAAAATGCAACCAATTTCTGTATGTTGATTTTGTACCCTGCAACTTTGCTGAATTCATGGATCAGTTCTAGTAGGCTTCTGGTGAAGTCTGTTGGGTTTTCTATGAAGTGTAACAGAGACATAACTTTTAAAATAAGCTGACTCAGAGACAGAATTTCATATATATATAAAATGATTTTAAAGATTTCCTTTGAGATTAACACCTGTCGGAAGATAAGGGAAGGTGTATGGATTGGAAAGAGGGAGAAGTTAAGCAAGGGTCCAGTCTCAACTACAGTCTTTGAAGATCCTGTGGGGAGCTTTGGATCTGGACTAGTTCAACTTGAACTAAGATAGTCAGGATTTTGTTCTCTTACATTGATCAGTCATTTGATGTGAATAGCTTTAAGAAGGAGTAGAATCTTAGTTGAGGAAGCTGTCTTCAGCAGAGTCAATTCATGAAATGGTTGACATATGAAGGCTATTTGCCGACAATACTCCCAAAAATTGGCACAAATAAATATTCATTGAAAAAGAATCTGGACAGCACATTACAGCATCCACCACAGTCTGCCCATCATGTCACTCTGACCCATTTGTTCACTTACGTTTTGGAGCAGTTCCAAAAGATTCTGATGGGATGTCTCTTCCTAGGACTAAACATAAAAGAAGAAAGATAGTGGGGAAAAAAGTCATTCTTAACAGTACAGCATCTCAGTGCCAGGACTGATATTCATTATATCATTCCTTCACTAACCATTACAGAGTCACTTGTCTTCAGCTAGGATGTCTGCTGGACTCAGTGGCTTATCTACTCACATGAATGAGACCCTTATCATGGACATTTCTGTTCCTCTCTTTGGGAACTGGAGTTTCTAAACTGGGAGAGCCCATATCTATATGCACAAATTCCCTCAAGTGGGTCATTCTTGCCCACTAATCCTTGGTTTCCATTCCCATTAATCCTTGGTTTCCATTCCCATGAAATCTTTCTTATTTTTATTTCTGAACACAGCAACATGATGAAACTGCATGTACAGTACCAAACTGCACATCGCATCATGAGGTTGAGTCTTATTATCATAAAATATTACCTCCAAACTTGCACTTTAGCTTTATATTTAATGGGCTCAATATAGTCAATTTTCCAGTTAGTAGCTGTTGGTCTTCTGAAGAAATAGTGCCATATCAGGGACTAAGCACGTGCACAACCTTGAGAATAAACACCTCCTTAAATTTTGTACCTGAGGTTCTTCTCGATTCATTCTAATCCCAGCCTAAAAGATGAATATATTAAGATTATTTATATTTTACTACAAAGTAGATGACCAGATGGATCAACCAAAACTCTATTCATTGGAAGGATGTTTTCTTACCACTCTCTTTCAAAGCCATTCTTGGGGGGGGGGGGTTGTTTTATAGCTGCCATCCGTTTTCAGCTTGCAGTCACATTGTAAGAAAGCTCATCCACAAACCGAGTTTGGGAATTTTCTTTTTCTGCCAGGTCCTGGTAAGAAATCCTTTATAAAACACAAGTGTCAGCCACCTCTTGTCTGAAGGCAGCCTTGTGATGTTAGTCTCCTCTAGGACTGCCTCAGCTGCATGAAGCCACCTCACACCAGGTCAAACCCCTTTTTGGGGCAGCTCTCATACAATACAAGCTGATGCAGGACAGTAAAGACCTAGACAACTTGGGGCATCTCTGAAAGCTGATTTCAACTCCAAAGCTTCTATGAAGTAAATTATTCAAATAGTAACCACACATGTAGACTTCATTCCAAACGGTTATCTTGGCCTCATGATTTGGAGCTTCTTTTAACATTTTTTACAAGGCATACCTCCTAGTAAAAAATTCCCTCAATTTTTGTTTGACTAAGAAATTCTTTATTGCCTTTTTACTTTTGAAAAATCATTTCACTGTATCCAGGATTCTGGGTTGGTGGATTTTTCTTTCAACAATTTAAATATTTCCCTCTAATCTCTTCTTGCTTACTTGATTTCTGAAGACAAGTTCCTGTGTAGGTAAGATTCACTTTTTTCTCAATCTTCTTTCAAGATTCTCTCTTTTCTTTGACTTTCTGAAGATATGACTAGGCATAGTTTTGGGGTTTTTTGGTATTTTTTTGCTTGGTGTTCTCTGGGACCAGAATCTGTGGTTTGATAAGTAAATAACACTTAAATGGGGGAATAAGACATTTATTCCTTTTATAGCTGAAAACAAATGAGCCCTGTATTTTACTAACATTTTGTCTCTGCTTCTACATGCAGAGTCTCAAAACTTACATTAAAAAGTCAGTAAGAGACATTTTAAAGACAACATAGATCTTTTATGACTGTTATTTTATGTGCTCCCCCCTTTATGCTGTGTTGAAGTTGATTGTTTTCTCCTTCCTTCCTTTTTCCCTTCCCCTCTTTCCTTCTCCCCCTCTCAAAAATAAAGATGTAAATAAGACTAGGCAATGAGTTTTGCCCTTTCTATATTAGTTGCCATCATTCCTTAATAAAGTAATCTTTACTAAAATTTATGCTCCTGAGAATACTATGTGAAAAATTCTCAATAGCAACAAGATAAATTATTTTGCTCTAGTGAAGTCACCAACTATAACCTTTCTAAATTCTGACTAAGAAAACTCAACAGTATTCTTCATGAATATATGGACACTACAGGAAAATAAAACTCTATTCTTAGCACAGCAGAGAAGAATTCTTTTTCAGCTCTCACTTATTAGGCTATCAGTTAATTTCTCTTTACACTCCAGGACCCAGCATGGAAAAAAACTGCTAATTTCAATCAAACCTAGAAAGCAATGAGATGATCATTTCCCACTGGGGGCTTTAAACCCCACTGTGTTCAATGTAGATCCAGTACCCTGTTGGGAGAATGCTTTTTTTGTTTCCATATTAGCTTTTAGATCACTGATCTGTGGGGTCACTAGTACCATGAACAAAATGGAATACTCGTCTACAAATGAAGGTCTTATGAAATTTATGCAAATATTCAGTTAGGAAAAAAATGTTTGTGTGTGTGTGTGTGTGTGTGTGTGTCTGTGTTTATCCATTTTCTCTCTCATTTTGGAAGTAATGACAATGGATTTCCCAAAGCTTTATAAAATGCTTTTCTAACGAATAGTCTGCTAACCTGACTTACTTTGAACACTTCCAGTAATGGAAGACTTTCCTCCTCACCACGTTGCACATTCCATGTGGACAGATTTTATAATGCTGAATGTAGATTGTTTCATTATAACTTTCATTCCTTACCCTTCTTTTGTTTACTTTTCTCCCAGCATTTCATATGGCGGCCTTTGGAAAAATGACACTTGTCATATCCAACAACCATAATACAAGACATCTCTTTCTTGAGGCAGGCATCCCCAGTAATCTCAGTGGTATTTCACACCATGACTTACTTTATCCTATCCTGTGTCCTCTGGAGATGTGGCAGTCAGCACGAGACCCAGGAATCTGTGAGATCAGTGAATAAATTTTAGATTACACACCCTATGCTCGGCCTCTAGTTTGTATTTGATGTCTACTCAGAGACTGATCACTCTCTTGGCTAAATAATACCCAGTAGCAGAGTCAGGAAAATTACAGCAGAGAGCTGAGATGATCTCTGATGCCTTACCTCTCTTAATCTACTTTATTTGAGGCCCTCATTACTGACTCATAGCATGATCTTTCTCCTGAGAATCTGGATCTTTCTCATCCATCAAAACATCCTTTCTGGTACCCTGTTTCAACAGGTACCTTATCTTCTCTGTGGAAAGGGAATTGGTGTTGAGTTAATTAGGAAGGTTTGATTGCAGACGTAGCTAGCAATGTTTTTTATCAGCATCAACCACAGAGTTGTGCATAAATCCAGCGCTGTCATAAATTGCTTAAAATAAATATTTTAATCAACCTAAAATGCAAATGCGTCCAGAAAGCACTTAAAAGGTGGCTGAAGAGGTCATATTCCATATTTAGAAACACACAGGTCCGGGGCGCCTCTGTTTAGGAATGGTATATAGAAAGGACATATCTTTTCTAAACTAGTGTTATTCAAAATGTGGTCCCTGAATAGACATATTGGCAGCATCTGAGGACCTAAGTAGAAATGAAGAGTTGAGGCACCGCCTGACTTACTGAATCAGAATATCTAAGGATAGGGTCCACAATTCCCTCCCTTCCTTAGAGTTCTGACTTCCTGTTGATATAGCATCAACTGTGGCAACCTGAAAAATATATGATCTCCAGCATTGGGTGTCTGTAATATTCAAGATTTTCAATTACTTGATTTGTTAGCCTTCCTTCTAGCTTTCTCCTAAAAAATATTTTCTAGATTGCTGCTCTTGGATGCATTTTTGTTTACCATTATTTGACTTGGAATGTCAGTGGTATCTTTCCTCATCTGTTAGAAATGTATTCATTTTTCAAAACAAAACACAAAATCCCCACCTCTTTCTTGTCACTTTCCTGACATTCTTAGAAACCACATGTAGGGGAAAAAAACTTTTTCTATACCCTCATATCATGTCATTCACAACTCTTGAATTAATTGCCATGTTTTCCATGTATAATAATTAAGTGTGCTAGAAAACGGAGACTGAAGCAAAAATGTATACGCTAACAATTAGAGAGTGTGGTCACAAAGAAGTAGAAGTAAAGGGAGAAGAGATGAAGCCATGGAGGGAAAGAAGAAATTAAGTTCAAGTAGATGAATTCTTGACATGGATACTGTTTGGTGTCAAGTACAACTAATTCATTATTCTTGAGAACCATCCTCATGGAGTCCATATGAACAACTGCATCTCAGAACAACCTGCCCAGAGTGAAGAAGGAAGAAATAACTATATGCTGGATCCTGTCTTCATTGGTAAAACTTTGTTCTCTGATAGGTTAACTTCCCGTCTCTTCTCAGTGTAGTTGAGCTCTTCTCCCTGTAGCTTACACCTCACCATGGACAGGAAAGCTCTGGGATACAAGGTAAGAGAAGAGCAGTGGGAGAGGAAGCAAAGCAGATGTCAAGTTGTTCATATGAAGTTGGTCTGTGCCCATTTAGAGTTAGCCAACATAGTGGCATCTGGGAATCAGAGGCAGACAAAGGCCCTAGGATTATGTGATACTCAGGGGAACTAAAGTAACTCTTAATGGTGTCTGATACAAATTATGTGTATATTGTGATTTATCTGCCTATAGAAACTGCATGTTCCTTGAGGATAGTACTTGGCATTTTATATTTTGACAGCTACTACTATTTATCTCAAGTGCCATAGTTTCTTACTGAATGTGCTACAGAAGTACAAGATCATCAGAGTTTTAAAATGTTTAATAATTGCATTGCAATTAATAAATCCTCCTCTTTCTACCAGAAATGTACCATCTGGAAGTTTACTATAGGAGAAGAATTTTTTGGCTGTATATTTTCACTGTGCATTTCAAGGACCTAAAATAGTGCTTGACACATAATGGATATTCAGTAAATATTTGTTGGATGAATTAATTTCATCAAATCCTAAAGGAAGTATTCAAGAAGTTCAGAAACATGTAGTCTTGAACATAGTCATACTTCAAAGGAGCCACTAAAGTTGATCATCAGAAAAGATGGACTTTGACTCTGTGATCCTGTCAGCTTCCCCTATTCCAAATGGGAATAATAATGATAGTGGACTACACTTGAATACAAAATTGGAAGTTCCTAGTTTAATTATGTAGGACACTGACCATACTGAACGCTGGTCTCCTAATATCCTTTAAATGTCAAATGAATTTAAGACTAGACTCTATTTTATGAGTTGTTAGTAAAGTTAACATGTGGACTCCAAAGAACATTAGCCAGAGATAGACAGCTGGTAGATGTAAGAATAAAAGGAGTAAATGAGAACAGGGAGATTTTTTTTTTTTTTTTTTTTTTTTTTTTTTGCAAAACAGCCATGTTTTATTGGTAACTTTGAACGCTGCAAAATTTGAAATGGGAATATTGGTAGGACCAATGATCATGATTCTTGACAGTAATTCAAATTGCTGAAATTTAAAATGGACAAGTATCTTTTTTTTTTTTTTTTTTTACAAATAGTTTATTGTCAAATTAGTTTCTACATAACACCCAGTGTTCATCCCCAAAGTGCCCTCCTCCATGCCCATCCCCCCTCCCCCCCACATCCATCAGTCCTCAGTTTTTGTCAGCATTCAAGAGTCTCTCATGGTTTGCCTCTCTCCCTTTCCCCCACCATTTCCGCCCTTCTTCTCCCCCTTGTTCCTCCGTCAAGTTCCTCCTAATCCTCCTATACGTGCAAACATATGATATTTGTCCTTCTCTGCCTGACTTATTTCGCTCAGCATAACACCCTCAAGGTCCATCCATGTTGCTACACATGGCCAGATTTCATTGTTTCTCATTGCCATGTAGTATTCCATGGTATAGATAAACCACATCTTCTTGATCCATTCATCTGTTGATGGACACTTAGGCTCTTTCCATGTTTTAGCTATTGTGGAGAGTGCTGCTATGAACATTGGGGTACATGTGCTCCTATGCCTCAGCATTTCTGTATCCCTTGGGTAAATTCCTAGCAGTGCTATTGCTGGGTCATAAGGGAGTTCTATTGTTAGTTTCCTGAGGAACCTCCACACTGTTTTCCAGAGGGGCTGTACCAGTTTACATTCCCACCAACAGTGTAGGAGGGTGCCCGTTTCTCCACATCCTCGCCAGCATCTAGAGTTCTCTGATCTGCTCATTTTAGCCACTCTGACTGGCGTGAGGTGGTATCTCAGTGTGATTTTGATTTGTATTTCCCTGATTAGGAGGGATGCTGAGCATCGTTTCATGTGTCTGTTGGCCATCTAGATGTCCTCTTTGGAGAAGTGTCTGTTCATGTCTTCTGCCCATTTTTTCACTGGGTTGTTTGTTTTTCGGGCGTGTAGTTTGGTGAGTTCCTTATAGATATTAACCCTTTATCTGATATGTCATTTGCAACTATCTTTTCCCATTCCGTTGGTTGCCTATTAATTTTCTGGGTTGTTTCCTTGGCTGTGCAGGAGAACAGGGAGATTTTTTAAGAGCATGCAACACGTCTGCCCATTGCATTAACTGGTCACATGACCACACTTAACAGCAGGGAAGGTTGGGGAATATAGTTTCACAGTGTACCTAGAAGGAAAGGAAAAACTCTAATTAAATAATTAACTAATTTCTGCCACTAGAATTAAACAGTAGGCTTCATATTGGCTTCTTTCTATTAGTCAAGTTTGTGGGGATATATTTTTGCAGAGAAATTCTCTGAATCCATGTGATGTCAAATATAAACCTATCTACTTGGAGAGAGGTGAGAGGAAATCTGTGTAAGTTTTCATTGCATCGTTGTATGTTTCAGACATGCTCTCTTAACATGTGTGCCAGGTTTTTTTTCACATGGGCAAAAACAAAAAAAAAAGACTACAAATGGGAGTTTTGGTGATTCTAGAATCTACTGTAAAACTTGTCTTATACATGAAAGACCCTATATAGACTCCAGCTATCTACAGTGGGTGGTCAATTGGGAGATGACTGTGGTGTCCTGGTGCTGGGGTGACCAGTCTGATTTCACAAAAGGTGACACAATGAGTCAGTTCCTACAATACTGGCTTTGGTACGTCTCCAGTGAATGCTTTGATATGTATGTATAGTATTTGATTTTTTAAACATGCTGTTAGTAATTTTGACAAATGTTCCCACTTAGTACATCAACTGGTAGTGTGACAGAGGTTTAGTGATGAAATGGTAAATTAATTCATATTCCATTTGGTTAAAGAATATGAAGTAAAAATCCAGGAAGGAAGTGAAGTTGAGCTTTTCTACCTAATTGTATCTAATAAAAGAAAATCATAATCTTATTTTGTCTTAGATGAAATGATTCAAAATGATTATTTTTCTGGCATCAAATACATAGATTCGAAATAATTATATTAACGCTTAATATGTTATAATTGCTTTATATTTGAAATATTTGTAAATAATTTGAGAGGCATTTCTAAATCAATGAATTTTATGTAGAGAGGGGATGAAAATTATCTCTCCAGTATCTTACTAATAAAATGCTAATTCAGTTAATAATTAAGATTTTTGTTTGGAGATTTAAATTCCCTCAGACAAATATTCTTCCAAAGCTTTGAAATTTTTAGATTATGAATATGTATAGGCTAGGTTTTAAACTGTTTATTCCTTTCCTTAAGTTAGGTCTCTTTCTTTTTCTACACATCTCTTTAAAATTTGCCTTTGGAAATCCTACTTATTATTCAGTTCACAGAGGATTTCTGTGATGTATAGCTCAGTCACACAAATAGTCCTAGAGGCACTGCTCACATGGGTGCACACTTTAAATTCTAACCACGTGTTCTTTTTGGGCACCATCTTTTCTTTTAGAAGACCAGAAATTGGAAAATTCTACACAAACATTTCAAACAAACATTATATATATGTAATGTATATATACACATATATTCAATTA